TGGGGCCCCCTCACCTTCTTAGAAGGTACTGGCAGCCCTAGGGAAGAAGGTGCGAGTCTGTTTGGACAAGAACCCCCGAACCGTTTCCACAGATGTTGCAGTAGTGGGCGTTTTTTATGGACAGGCGCCGCGGGCGACTCTGACATGCCGCTGAAATGCTACAACTTCTTAATATTCAGATTATACAAAGTCAATCGAGGTCGTGGTCATTTCTCGTCTACCCCTATCCCAAACACTCCATGGGACTACCATAGGACTGCCGATCAGTTAGGGTGGTTGACTGGGGGGGCTGTCTGGGGCGGCAGTCCTATGGCAGTCCCATGGGTCGTGTTTGGGTATTCCCTAGGCTTCCAACAACCATTAGTTTAATAGGCTGAATCCTGAATCAACTAAGGATTTACACTACCAAAAACCCAGGTCGTTCCCCATTCTTTAAATGGTCCAACGGAAGCCGAGAAGGGTATTGGATAGCACGTCGACTACGTCCAAGCTAGCCAATCCCTCAACGCCTCGACGACTCGATGGACGACTCGACGCCACAGTCTCGGCACTGGCGAGCTTCACCACGGTCATGGCGTTGGTGGCGCTGGAGCCCATTTGCATCGACAGCCACCTGGCGCGGGTGAAAGCAGCGGTTTTTGAAGCGGAGATGTTCTCCTCCCCAGATCTGCCCAGAGTTCTTAGGCAGGGTGGAAGTGCATGGCACAAACAACATGGCTCAAACAGCATGGGATCTTGTCCATGGGGTTGCAGAAGGGTTGCAGGGATGATGAAGTTGGATGGGCGCTAGTCACTCAAGCCTCACAGTACGGAGCATCCCCTTTTTCGGGGCGGGGCGGGGGAGTATCAGCTTTTTTTAGCCGCCCGGACCCACAAGGGGTGGCTACGGGATACCCCTTGAGGGGTCTCTTGAGGCTCTTCAGGGGTCTCGTCACGCCCCAGAGAAGCAGCAAAAACGAAAGCATTCATGGGGGGCCAGCTGGGCAACCTGAAAGCGACCCGAAAGCATTCATGGATTTCATGCAACCGACATCTGCTTGGCGCCTGGCGCCTTTCAGGTTCTGAAGGTGCAGTGTTTGCTCGTTTGGGCAGCTCCGCGCATGGCTTCAACGTCCCTGGGCCCTTCACGTGAGCGCGTGCGACATCGGAGGTTCCGGGGTGGCAAGCCTTGAGCCCTCAGACGTGTCAACCTGGAAAAGTGGTGAACAAATGCGGCCCGTTTTGGGTGAAATTCACGGCAGAAAAGAACGGATACATCCTTGATCATCCTTGTATCCTTGAGCAACAAAGAGGAGAGCACAACATGAGGAAAGGGATGTGGAAGTGAACGATGATGACATGGCACAAATGTGGCCCCGCCTTTATTGCAGGATTCATGATTCTGTCGCTGACAGGTGCCGGAGTGTAACTAATGATTCCCATCATGACCCACAAAGAGCTTTAAAGAAGGCCAGGCCAGTCCTTTCCGTCCCTTTCGCTCAATTTGCCGCTGGTTTTTTTGCATGGGGGCATGCCATGCCATGCTATTGGCTTGAAATATATAGCGGAGTCAGTCTTTACCGCTGTTTCATGTTTCTTTGCACCTGCGACTTGACAGCAGTGTCAGAAGCCGCGTCCCGGTACTTTTTACGATGGGTTTACGTCCCCAAAATGGGACGTGCCTTCCCACACCGTTCGTCGGGACGAATGAGATGGGATGAGGGGATCAACCGTTCTTGAAACATTTGTCACGAAAGCTAGCCTTAGCTAGCTGGAGTTGCTCTTGCTTTAGCAAGTTAAGTGACGGGGTGGACGCACCTCAGAAACCTCAAATAATTGATTAAATCAATCTTATGGACCCCCCCCCCCCTCCCCCCCCGCGGTTCGACTCCCCCCTGCGCGCGGTGAGCGGGACCACCAAGCAGCTGCAGCACACCAAGCATCTGCAGCGCCCAGCGCAGCAGCAGACCACCCAGCGGCGGCAGCAGCAGCGGCAGCAGCATACCCAACGCCGCGGCAGCAGCAGCCGCAGCAGACCACCCAGCGCCAGCAGCAGCAGCAGCAGCAGACGACCCGGCGCCTGCAGAGCGGCAGCAGCACCAGCAGCAGCACCAGCAGCAGACCACCGGAAGCCCGGCTAGCTTTCGTTCACCCCCTCTGGCCTCAAGTTTAGGTGCCATGAGTGAACCGTTTTTGTTAGTGGATACCTGGATACCTGGATGTTACATGAGTTTTGATATACTGTATGGTTCTGAGCGCCTTCGTCTTGTGTTCTGAACTTATTGCCAGCCATTCCGTAGTCTGTTGTTCCAAACCTCTTGCAAGCCATTCCGTCGATATACTATTATTCGGTCACCTGACCCAAAAAAAACTCCCCCCTCCCAGCGTCTTCCCTGGTGAGCAATTGTTATACTAATCCGAACCGGGTCATTCTGGTTACTGCAACCAGTTTCTGTTCATGTAGACCTATAGATGCCTTCTACCCTCCTGAACATTTGAGAGTTCAAAGTGCCCGAGGTGGTATGCGTCTTGCATTTTCTGAATTCCTTGATGTACTTGCAACTTGGCATGGTTTTCGCATCACGTCCTTGGCCTCTCAAGACGTTGTGTGCGCCCCTAAAACGGCTCTTCTGCTCTTTTCCACTTGAGAAAGGCTCGGCGGGATGGAAATTTGTCAAGGTTTTGAAGAGTGTAGGTTCAGATGCATCCGCCTCCCATGCGGGAGGCAGGGTGGTCTTGGGACACCGAAAATGGTGAGGGGCATGGCTTGGGAGGGCCCGGGTGCACGTGACTGCAATTGCCCCCCTTGATTTCCACGTATGAGTTGCGTGAATCTCCTCCCCTGCCCCCTGCAGTCCGAAGATCTTGACTCCCTCGAACCAGAGACCCCCAACATATACGCCGATTCACCTCTGTTCAAAGCTGCTGACGGCACCCGTTGATTCCTTAGGAGTCTTACAGCAGGTCCGGCAAGCTCAACCCAGTTGTGGCAAAGAAGACAAAACACCATCCTGAATGAGTGAAAGCCAGTGGCTGCATCAGGTTCCAGATGGACCCATCTACCATACAAACACCTTCGTCCCAGCCGTTTCAGGCCAAAAAATGACCCAGATATACCCAGATGCGCATTCAGCTGTTCTTGTTTTTTTTTTTAAATGGGTGTTTTGGTTCAGTTCGGGACATGGCAAGCTAGGCGAGCTGGGTGTTTGCTGCGTTTCCATGCTGCGGGCTTGTTCGAGGATTGGCTCCATGTGGTATCACTTGCACCTGTTCTACATGGATGAAACATCCGTAGGCAGAGTCGACGGGGGGCAGAGTCGGTCGAGTCGAGAGTCGAGTCGGCGTGAAGTCTGGCGACTCCCCAGCGACCGACGTCGACGTCGTCAGTGTGGAGGTGTCTAGCTTTCCAGAAAAATAACCAGAAAGAATGTCCCATTGAACAGGTAGCAAGTATACTTCTCCAGAGCTTGTGGGGGTAGTGTTGGCCAGAGGTTTAACTGGTCGGAGGTGAACCTGTTCCTCAGTTGATCCGGGAGATTTCCAGCTGTTTGTGCAGCTCTTTGTGCAGCGAAGTCGTTGTTCAGAAGACACGAGGACATGTCGTAGAAAACCTGCCAAACCTGTCCAGATTTGGCATGGCAATGGGACATGCATGAAACTTGGAGCATGGACATGCCTGGAAGCCCCAATGAACTGCAAGAACGGTCATGCCATCAATCAACTGCCTGGATTGGAACATGCACCACAATGAACCCGACCAGCTGTTTGGATGTCCAGTCGCCCACACCGACCCGCGCGGACGGCTCACTGTGGATAGGACAGAGTATAGATACTCCTGAGCCCAGGAGTTTTTCACGCAGGCCTTGAAAGAAGACGAAACATGCATATCCAGTCCAGACCACCGAGCTTGGCCGCTGAGAAACTGCTCCTGGCATTGGGTTGTGTGCTCGCCTTTAGCTAACGGCTAAACTCTTGAGAGGGCGATGGAGAACCTGCATATCCAGTGCAGATGGAACTCAGACTTCCGGCAGCGGTACGGGTGGCGTTGGTTGGTCCGAAGCCGCGGCCAGGTGTTTTTGACATCACGCTGCAGCTTTCCTCGCGGAAGAGGTGCTCACTGGCGCGAGTGGTCCGGGGGCTGGGGAATGGGAGTGGAAAGGCTAGCTAGCAGGAGCGCCGCAGCCCAGACTCACTACCACTGGTAGACTACCACTGATAGTTCCCTGCGTGTCCCTGTAAAACGGCTGCGTTGTAGCCAGACGCTGCCGAGAGAGAGAGAGAGAGAGTTCCCTACATGGATGGGGTCATACATGGATGGTAGATGCAGAAGACATCACGATTCCAGTCCCATGGATGGTCTGGGGATATTGTGGGGGGATGTTAGAAGGGTCACTGCCGAAGTGTGGCTTCTAAGGGGCCATCCATGTTCTTCAAGACATCTCCCCGAACTCGGCCGTGTCACCCTTAAGCATACAGCCGGCCACAGGTGTGGCCTTAAGCATCATATGCATGGTGTTCACACAGTTCAGACACGCTTGGATGGACGTTGCCGAGTTGGGTGTGACCTCCCTTTGGAAGTTGAATCTGGATTTCTGTTTTCACTGGACAAACCCCACATCCAGAGACTTCAAATGAGACGAGTATCCGAGTATCCAGTACTAGTCGCGACCAGCTGGACCAATGGCACATTCCTTTAGTATTCAGCTCCCTGGAGCCCTTGTAGGTTGACCATGTTCGGTCATCGATTCCGTTCATGTTCGGTCCGGTACAGTGGGGCCGCAAGAGGACCCACTGCACGAAGAAGACCCCCCCATCAGGTTTCAGTGAACCTGTGATCCCTTTGATGCCTCCACAGACATTTGGCCGGACAGGTTCTGCCGATGTCTCAAGATGAAGTGTGTTCTTTTGTTTCAGGTTCCAGGGGTGCCTTTTTGGTGGCAGTTGAAGGTGCTGCGGGCCAACGGCTTTTAACCAGCCAGGCTTTTTCAACTCTTTTCAGACTGTTGGGCTCCCGTCCCACACCGGAACTGCCGCCGCTTGCCCCTCGCTGCCGTTCCATCCGCGGTCGCGCGACGCCAAGCATGTGGCCGTGGCTCATGGCTCGAACAGCAATCGTAGCGAGTGAAGGAGGGCCACTGGCCGCTGGGAGCGGGGCGGAGGACTGACGCGGACGCGTTTGTCTTTCCCCCCATGGCAACACTCGATTCCGAGGAGGACGACGGGAAGTCACAAGAACGTGCCTTGGGCCGTGAGAACTCGCGTGGTTGATATATATATATATATATGTGTGTGTTTTTTGTAGTTAACTATATATATATATTTTTAAAGCATTTAGGGGATGGGTGGGGCAGTTTAGTTGAAAAGGAGCTGCAAGAGATCCTTAACCCATCTTAACCCCATGCCCAGGTGGTGTGATTCATTGAAAAGGGACTCGACAAACACTGGAAGAGTGAAAGGAGATGAAGCGACCCAAAACAACTGCCAGAGTCACAGCACCAGAATTGTTTCGGTGCTAGCGCTACTAGGGTGCAGAAAAACGAGCCCATGAAAACATGCCGCTGTTGGTTCTCTGCATGACCCTGGAGTCCTAAAAATCGGCCGCACAACACAGAGGTGTTTTCTTCTTTTTCTTCTTATTTTTTTTCTTCTTCTTCTTCTTTTTCTTCTTCTTCTTCTTTTTCTTCTTTTTCTTCTTCTTCTGCACGGCAGCGCCGTGTCCAAGGAGCTGCGGCGGTCTTTCAGTCCCTATGTGGCTACCTCGTGCAGGCCGCGTGCGAGCGCGCGTGCGAGCGCTTTTCCTTGGGCCCAGCACGGCGTGACACTGCCCAGCGGAGAGGAGGTTCTGCCAGGCCAACTGGGTGGAGTAGCCCAAAGAAAGCCATGTCAAAACAGTCATATCTATAGCTAGGAATCCAGCGTGCCTTCTCAGGTTCGGTACGACTGGAGCCCTGCTTGAACAGTTTCTATAGGCTTGACCACTTGAGAGTCGACTCGGAGTCGATCGTGGCTGCTGGAGTCGATGGCCCTGGGGATCAGTTCCAGTGGAGTCATTCCACCTGAAGGGCGAAGAGCTGATCACGAGGAACCCATGCTTGACAGGTGTGCTTTTTTGGTCCGGTCCTGAGATGTCCCACATGCCATCGCATGCCCGAATTCACCCAAGACATGCCTGAATTGATAGTAAGGTATAGACTCATTGTAGGCTCTTGATGAGTAAAACCCCCGCATTTGGCTTGTAAAGCCTCTTCATGAGGGGTGCTTATTCATCAGGAGGTCTGCATTATATATTACTGTAAAGGGTTGACTTTAGGTTAGGTCCGGTTAAGATGCACCAAAGGCCAACAGGCACCTGGGGCAAAATTTTTGGACACTTGACTTGCAGCAGTGGATGGGCCCCATTCTGGTATTTCAAGGCGACACTCCGTATAAACTAACATGGCAGTGGCAAAATTGCTCATCCAAGGATTGCAATTTTATGTAGAAACATGTGTTTTTTTTGTGAAATGTTTTTTGTTTAAGGTATTGTGTTTTTTTTACAACTTCCATGTGAGTTCCAGGAAGGGTACCCCTCTCAATGCCTTCCAGGGCTGAAGCTACTACAAAGGCCATGCCCCTCAGAACCGGCCGTTTCCAGGAAGTCTCCATGGGCCGAACTGTGCATGTGCCCAATCTGGGGCTTTTCTTCCATGCGGGGACCGGGCAGATGCGTTTCAAGGCACGGCCATCGTGACCATCGTGACTTGTTTTGTGGATCGTGACCTGATTTGACGCGGCGTTGCTTATAATCGTGCTTTCGTCGGCGTTCGCGGGAGGGAGGGTTGGGAGGTCTTTTCACAAGCTCTGCACAGAAACTTCGGGGGGGTGTGACATCTCCCGATCCCATGGTCACTTCTTGGAAGGGCAGAGGTCTGGGTGTCTGACGACAGGGAGGTGTAGTCGAAAGAGATTTAAAGAGCCAAGAAGCATTCATGCTTGGGATTTCTTGAAGATGTCCCTAGTTTGGATGAGTTGGAAAGACTGTGACACCACCCAAATGTTTCGTTCACCATCCGGATGGACCTCTTCTTTCCTGGATTGGGATATGAGCAACGCGGCACAGTCTTTACCCATGTTTCGGCCCCACCCTGAGTCACAAAAGGCGAAGGCAATCATAGCATGTGCATGGACCATCTCCATCGCATATCATTTATCGGCATCTCCGAGCAACTGGTATCACCGAACGAGTGATCCAAGTGCACACGTCACATGCTGCGGTCACTCCGCTGCGGATCCATGGCACACCAGCCGCGGCCGAGCAAAATCCATAGGGCCTAGGGTGAAGTCACCAGCTTGTAGGGGTTTGGTCAACTTCGACCGGTCAGAACGCGCAGAACGCGCCCAGCATCTAGCCGGGCAGGTGCTTGAAAAGCTTCTTCCCGCCGATCACCGATGGGAAGGAGAAAGCCCAGGCGGCAGAGGGTCGACTGTATCCCAGACACGGCTAAATGGGACTGCCAGGACGGACTGCCGCCCCAGACAGACCCCCCTGGCACCACTCCTGGCCTGATCTGCAGTCCTATGACCGTCCCATCGGTCGTGTCTGGGTATGATCTTGGTATGCATGGCACTTCGCACCCGCGAGACAGATCGCCGCGCCCGGCGCGGCCGCGAGACAGCGCGCGCGGCGCAGGCATTGGACCCATTGCCAAAGCGCGGGTGGAAAAGATCGCTCAAAGCGCTGGCGTTCATAAAGACCTGGCCGAGGACGGATCGGTGTGCCCAAGCGGAGCACTGATCGTCGATGTTGGAAGAATCTCATCATCATAGACCTATAGTCCTATAGCCTATCCCAGACACTCCATGTACGCTATATGCCTACATTGACCCCCCAAACCACCCCAACTGATCGGCAAATATGGCATACATGGAGTGTCTGGGTATTATACACACCTCACAACTGCGAAAGAATCGATCCAATGTCAGCTGTTCGAGGCTAGACCTACGGGTCTCTCCCAGACCTACGGGTCCCTTCGTCACGTCCCTTTTTCGCTCCTTGAAGACGATCGAAACAACGACGACAGAAACGACAACAGGAGATGTTGCACGCAGCGGTGAAAGACTTTTGGACCGCGGTGCAAACCTCTCCGGAGGCCGCAGGGTTTGGATACGACGCGCCCTGCGGGCTCCGCGCTCGGTTGGGAGGATAGGTGCCAGATCTTTTTTTGGGGGAGCGAGTGTTGGACGGTATGTTTATATGTGTTTATGTATTAATCAAGGAATAGATGCCAAAAAGCAGCTCCAGCAAATTATGGCAGCAACAAACAAAGAGGTGGTTGATACTGTGGTTGATATCAAATGACCGCGACAAAAAGTGGCTGGGAATTTCAGTGTTGCAGCATTGTAGCACATTTGAACATGTTCTTGAGCACATGTTCAGCTACGGACCTTTGTGGTCGGAGTTGCACCTAGGGGCATAGCATTTGCCAACTCGAGGGCCATAGCTCAAGATAGCCATAGCTCAAGATTTACGGTTCCGGTACCCAAATAAGATCAAATATCAATATCCCCTGGGAGTCCAAGACCATTTGATCCGAAAAGGAACTTCCTTTACATTGGGTGGTGCCGAAAATCGTCGACCTGGACTTCTAGGGGTATCTCTATCAATATGTGCTTCTGTGCTTGCAAGGGGTTCCATTCGCCCGGAGCTCGCAACCCTGAACTCTGGAGGTCGAATTGGACTTCCCTGGTGTCGGGGTCATCAAGGCACGAACGACGGCTGTTTGGGCTGGAAAGGGACTGCTTGGCGGTGTTGGATGAGGAATGACATCAGTAAGCCTGGATCGGAGGAGGAACTGGGTCACTAAAGGCCGAGGGTTGAGACGGTTGAGACCCACTTTTTGCCATCAAACACAGTGGCTTTAGAGGTTCCATGGCACAAGAAACCACCAAGTTGGGTGGTTTCTAAGGACCACCCCCTGCAAAAATACATCTATGTTGTGTTTGTGCCATCTAACTCTTTGAAACCATCGCAATGCCAAACATGATCAAACTCCAGGGATGGCAAGCAACGTGCTTTGCTATTGCCCAAACCCCAACCTTGTCGAAAGCCGATCCCCAGACCGAGACCGTCGGATGGTGTATGCCCTTCTTTAAGAACCATGGCCCACGGCGAGCAGGAAACGACTGCAGGACAGATCTTCAGGCCCCAGAAACCCTTCTAGTTCGGCGCTCTTCTGCAACTGCTGCGGATCAGGTGAAAGATAAGACGTTGACCTTTGAACCCTTTGGCTCTCAGGTTCCTCAGGCTGCACGGTGGTTGGTGCGTGGGGATTTGAGTCCTTCTGGCTGGAATGTGCCCGGAGAGTCCTTCCCATCCTCCCTTCAATCTTTTTTGTCTCAACCGCTGGATCTCAACTGGAAGTTGCTACTATTCCCGGGATCAGGAATTTCACAGTTCACGTTGTAAGGAAGGAGATGAAGGAGGACAGAAGGACGCAAGATGACGCAAGATGACGCACCACTTGGCACCATACCTTCGTGCACGAAGATCCAAAGACGAGCACTGCTCTCCACTGCCATTGGTTCACCCAGATCCTCTCCATGTTTGGCTACCTACGACACCTGTCACCCGGCTGGGCACGGAACCGGACCTTCGGTCCGAAGCGACTCTTCGGTGCCAAGGTTCATCGCAAGAAGGTCACTGCAGAGCATGGGATGTGCCTTGGGAGGGACGGAGTGCATGTGCCATCCGGGACGGAGAGTGGAGAGAACCAACGGTGAAGAAGAGAACCAACGGTTGGTTGGTTGGTTGGTTGGTTGGTGCATCCGTAGTATTCACCCTCCAATTTGCAGATTTTGTTGGTTTGGTGCTTTTGTGTTGATGGGTTTCCCCAATGTGGCTCCATTACTTTTCCATACTTTTTCCTAAGCCTGAGCCATGGCCAAGGGAACCAAAAGCCAGTTTGGCTGCAGATCACACTAAAAAGCATTTGGGGGTGGCACTTGACTGCGGAGTCCTTTTTCGACCACGCTGACTGCGCCTCCGTGACCACGTGTGTGCCTGACGTGACTCATGACATCTCATGACCATGCTGAGGTTTAGCAGGACGGCGCAAGAGTTGTGGAAAAAGTTGCCACAAAGCCAGGCGTCTTTGCGGTCCAAAGAGCCTTGGATGTCGACCCTGCCATTCGCTGCCAGGGTCGGTTGGGTCGCGACGATGGGGAGCAGGAGAGGTTTCCAGTGGAAGTGCTTTGAGGTTCATGGCGGTGGAAATGCTTGAGAAAGGGACCCAAATTCTTCTTGAACAGGATTCCCTGCTCTTCATGCTTATATAATTCAGTGGGAATGCAATAGACTGGTGAGTATTGGATAAGTGTTCAAGAGGCCCTGGAACATTTGCAGCTCCAGTTTCTGAAACGACCGTGAACGTTGATGACGCCTGGGCGTCGTCAGAAGTTGATCCGCAGGAGCGGAGGAAACAACAACTTTTTGACAAACAGCCAGCTTGTGTGTGACCGTAGCCGCCAGCGTAGGGAGGAAACAGCCAGAATAAACCCCAAACACCCATGGGACTGCCATATATGCCGATCAGTTGGGGTGGTGCCAGGGGGGTCAATGGGGCGGCATATATGGCATACATTCGCCTACATGGAGTGTCTGGGAAAAGCAGGAACTACTCGTCCTCCTAACGTTGGCGGATTCCAGCGAGTGCTTTCACAAGCCGAGGAGACGGCGGAGAGTTACCCCGGGACGATCCCCTCGCCGCTGTCCCCCACGGCCATGCCCACGCGCGTGGGCAACTCGGAGATCTTGACGCTCCACAAATCGAGCAGCACCCCGGTGCTGATGCCTGGCTGGAAGAGTTCTGGGATGTCACCATGTACAAAGACCTGGCTATCCATGGGACTGGAAAAGTTACATGGATGGGTCACCAAATGGGGGTTAATGATTATAAATGACAATGAATGTATGCCCTAGGGCGCCAACCACCTCCAGGGGGTCTAACCACCTCCTGAGGATATGGTTGGAAGCCTAGGGATGTAACTATTCCAGTCCTATGGATGCTCCGTGGATGGGTGATGGTAAGTTTGGAACTGATGGTGGTCTGTCGGAAACCCCTCGTAGGCTTCCGAGGGGTGGTTGTTTGTTCATTTTGTTTTGTCCTCCGCTGGGTGCTTGCAAAGCTCGAGACGAATCCAGAGCTGTTTGGAGCTTTTGAAGACTTGTGTATATACAAGATACGAAGAACATCCCACATCAATATATACATCAATAACAGCTTGTTCTGTTGAATTCTTGCGGTGTGGGTGATAAGTAGCGAGTAAATGTTCAACTGTGATCTCTCCAGGCATGTCCTTCGTTAAGCACCCCTATGTTGCTATGGAGTTTTTGTTTCAGTCTCATGCTTGTTGTTGTTTTTGGTTGTGTAAGTGCCAGCAGAGGCCGAAGAACCCAGCCCCACAGGCTATCCCATATAGGATCATACAGGTACTACCCCGCTCATCGTCAACATGTTGGATCTGATTGTTGCTGAATAACCACGCCACCGTATTTAGCCGCCGAAGGCGCGGACCCGCGTCCGGTCTAAGGAAGCCTCTGAAGCACGAGTCGAGGGGGACCGGCGAGGTACCTTTCCCACAGACCTTCAAAGATAGGAAGTTGGCTTCTCTCAAGGACGGCGCGCGGCGCGCGCAGCCGCTTCCGCGCGCAGCATCCGCGCTTCCTCTTCCGGTGTTTCACACGTCCTGCCCGAAATGGCCCTGCCAAAAACCGCCGGGAATAACATTCGGGAGGATCAATGCTTTGTGGGTTCCAAACTTTTTGTTGGGCCATACTGGGCGCCGACAGACCGCGCGAGAACCCAGAACATGCTGATGGACTGATGGAATAGATGGAATCATTCCAATCTGACTTAAGGGATGACTTGGGATCTGACAGGTTTAACTATGCAAGCGGGCACGCTCCACTTTCCACGGATTTGCTTTTTGGGGGGGCAGCTGCTCCCAAATCTGACGAAGTCACCTGAAGGGGCGGGGGCGGTAGATGACAATGGTGGACGTGGACAGGAGTGGACACTGCACGGCTGGACACGTAGACTCGTAGACTCTTGATTAAGAGGGTGTTTCAATTCAGAATCTATCCCAGACACTCTCTGTATGCCTACATTGACCCCCCAAAACCGATATGTTTCCGGATATGTTCTTTCCGCATGTCTGGGCCGCTTTACTCGCTTCGTTCCTCCGTTCCTCCGCACGCCGTTTTTAGCCCTCCGGGAACGAGCTGTCCTGCTCGTCGGTCGCAGGAGGATGCCGAACAACTCAGCAAACGTTTCACCAGGCAATTGCCCGTGTTCCTGGGACTCGATGGACAACGGACGGCGACGGACGGCAGTCGGTGGCGCGGAGTCGGTGGCGGAAGGTGGTTTTGGGAGGAACATGGAGGAACGTGATTGTTTGAGTGGCTCATCGGGGAGTGGTTTCTTTGAGATACTTTGAGCATCACTGGAGGTTGGTTGAGCATGCAGAACCACCAGCCCAACAGCATCCCTGAAAATAAACGCTGGCATACGCTGGACCCAAAGCGTCATTTTTTTCACCAGGTCACCAAGACATACCTTGCTTGAACCAAACATATTGATTCTCTCCTGCTCAAGCATCAAGCATCGCTGCCTTGGAACCCCTTCCCCTGACCAACGAGTCGTAGTAGCAATGTACGGATTTAAATCGGGGTCTGAGGTCCTACTTGGTAGGGTCCTTGGATATAGTACTTACACACTCCCAGCTGGAACTCACATGGAAATGGATGGCATGGCCTCAAAAGGAAGACCATGTCGCTCTACCATCAGGAGGTGAACTCCACTTCCATGTGAGTTCCAGGGAGGGCATCACTATACCTCCAGGCTGTTTGGAGGCCCGAACGGGAGGCCCGAACGGTTCGACCCGAACGGTTCGACCCGCGGGAACCGAACGGGCTCGCACTCCCAAGGTCCGAGCGCTTATTTCCACCCATCCTGGACCGTTGCCGCTGGGACCACGCTCTCGCGCGTAAGTCGATCCTGGTCGGTTGAGTCGATGAGAGAGAGAGGGATGGAGGATGGGAGCATCAAAGACCCGAAAATCAAGCGTTGGCTTATAGAACTCCCTTTTAACTCCCTTTCTTTCCCCCTAAGAAGCCGGTGTTTGCTAAGACATTCGGGAGTCAAAGGCAGGATGTCCTGTGGTCTCAATGTAGTGAAATGTCATTGCAAATGAGACGTGTGCTGCCAGTTCAACCCAGAATTGGCAGGGTGCAGTGGATGCAACCTTACAATGTCGCAGAGGGGTGGGAGTTGGTCCACTTGAGCGTCAATAGCCGACCGCGTGGAATTGATTTTGGACCTTTGGGCAACTGCCAGTTCGTGCACAAACTTGTTCAAAGATATCGCTAACCAATCTGTTTAATGCTAAAAAGAGCGTCCCCAAAGCAAAAGCTAAAGGCCATGTGCAGGAACCAGGCCGTGTCTTTCTTCCAGCTCCCGTCCCCCCGTCTCCGTCTCCACTCGGTACGGCACGAGCGCACTACGCTCCAAGCCGAGGTAGCCGCACACGCTCAGCGCTTGTCCGCGAATCGGTGGCAAAGGACCACATTAGCAACGCTCCTGGGATCATATAGACAGATGCGGGTCCTTGTGGACCCAACTTGGATTGTGCCACCTACTCTGAGTTTCACTGCAGAGTTCTCTTTACTTCGGAACTGGGGTGGTTCATATCATCCCCAGATGCGACAGGACAATTTCACTGCCCTAAGACTCCGGGCCCTCAAACAGATAGGGTTTGAGGTCCCGGACCCCTGCTATGGAGGGCCCGACCCCTGCCATGGACAGCCTAAGGATTCTTAGGGTGTTTAGTTTTTTTTTTCTCGCATGGGGTTCAATTCTAGTCAACATGTCCAGTCCCATTACCAGCGCCCCCGAAAAAGGCTAAGGGGTGTCCAATGATGGCTCCTGATCGAGGTGATTCTGGTATAGTCGTGTTTTTTTTAAAAGTGTTTTTTAATTCACAGCAAGGAAAAGGTGAAGTGGTTATAGTGGCTGGAACATATAATATAGGAAATGGGGTGGCCATCAACTAACCCCCAAAAATCACTCTCCAATGCTGCGGATTTGGGGGGGCTCCCGGACTCCCCAGCTAAACCCATTTCGCGTCCACACGCTCTCCGGCACCGGGTCGGAGACCACTAAGGTCATTGGGGCCAACTACTCCCCGAAGTCGCGGTCTTTGAGCATCGACCACGAGGCGCGCGCGCATGCGTCGCGCGAGACGACCGGTGGGGGTCTCCAGGCGTGGTTGGGGAGTCGGGTTGTTCCTGGTCTCGCGCGGGCGCGGGACACTTCAGGGGCCAAGTTGAGGGTAAGAGTTGGGAGTACGTCGGTCTTTGTGATTTTGGGTGGTTGCAGGATGGTGCAGGAGTCAAATGAGTGAACGTCACTTGCTGATGTTTGTTCCTTGGTTGGACGGCAAAGAGAGGGGTGGCTCTCTTGCAGAGTATGCCATGTTTCCCCTAGACGGTTGATCAACTAAGAACCAGTTGGTTGTAACAACTCTTCACATGGCGGGGTCTCAATGTATTTTGTCTATACATGGATGATTACCTGCGTGGTGGTTTCAGATTTTATATGAACTTGTTTATTATCAACATATTGCAACCTCTGCATACTTGGAATGATGCAACCCACTGACTCCTATTCTTCGCGTCCTCTTCGTGGAACCCGGCCCAGCGCCCCGTCTCTTCAGGCACGTGCCAGCCTCTTGGACACTCTCATCCGGCGGAAGCCGATACCCCAGGAGTTGAAGGATGGCGTCACTTGGAGTGAAGTGAGGACCTTCATCGGTCGGACCACATCCGAGGACCAGTCGAATCGGCCGGAGGCGCCGACCGGAGGTTCTATAAGCACAGCACCGTGTGAACGTAATCATTTACATGGTCACAGGTCACATGATGTCACATGTGTTCCTTCAGCGAGGCTTCTAGAACGCTGGAAGGGTCCAGAACTGGGGTCTCAGATTGGCCGAAGGGCTTTAATTACTCTTGCGGGGAGTCCATCACAAACAGCGCCCAAGATGAGTTGAATTGTGACCGCAGAGTCATTCCCAAAAGATAGAGCAGCTATATAACCCCTTGCTATCTACAGTTTTGTGAGGTCATTCAGTCCTTTAATTGGGGGAATGACTTGACTTGAAGACGGTGTTTTCAACGTGTTGGTGACTCTCCTTGGGGTCTTCATCACCAAACCGCCTCATCTCCTCACCAATTCCGCGCATCTGGCCTTCGCCGAATGGCCACCATTCCCGATCGACCATCCGCGAGCGTTCCCCGGCACCGCGTTCCCTTTTGGCCGTCGCACCCGCCAGGCCGTCGACTTGCGAAACGTGGATTGGACCGCGGAATGGCCTCAGATCCTGGAGGAGCGAGCGAGCCCTATTCGGCCTTCCCGCAGAAGCGGCCGAAACACCGCAGACGGGTCACCTGAGTCGGGCCGAAATCGAAAGAAGAAATGACGCCAGGACACGGCTTTGGATGAAGTAACAGTAGCATTTTGGGGGGGTCAAGGAGGCATGATGCAGGAAATGGATGCTTAAGCTGTTTGCAGGATCGGGGACCATGTAGGACATGGAGGGTGTTATGGAGTGATGATACAAATGCTGCCTGTAGAATATAGAATCCTTCTATGTTACTACCGACCTGTTCGCAAAATGGGAAAGTGGCGATGCACGGTCTGGGGGTTTTCGACCACAAGGACTTAACAGCAACTGGCAACTGCTTTGAACCATGATGGGGGTTGCTATCCAAATTCCAGGTGCTGCATTCTGCCCATACAATGCAACTTGATGGGATGCAGTTGTGGTGTGCGTGTCTTGATTTCAACACCTGTTTGATCTGTATGAGTTTGGTCGCCTTTTCAGAAGAGGACATCCATGTGGTCGTGGGGTAGACCGTTGAGACCATCCCGGTGCCGTTCTTCCACCAAGTCTTTGGGATGGGGAAAGCCGCCATGGCAAAGCCATCAAAAGGCCCAGGTCGACCATTTTTGAGACCTACTTATATACCCTAGAAGTCCAGTTCGACTATATTTTGACCGGTTGAAGTAAAGGAAGTTCCCTTTCAGGTCCCCTGAAGACCATTCTTTTTATAGTCTTTGACTCCCTGGGTATAGGTAGACCATGTGTAGACCGGTAGATCTACCGGAAAACCGTTGGTGAACCCCGTGTTATCGTCCTTGTTTTCGGCACGCCGGGTTTTCAGGACTCGCCCGTGTGTGGGGAGATCGAGGATATCCAGCCGCTTGGCTGGTTCTCCCCGGTTTGCCACGACTGAATCATAGGTTGATATCAAATAAAGACAGACAGATACATTTTATTGCAGCATATGTATCTCTATAATTTATATATTGTTTTATATTTTCACCAGCACACACACACACATTCAAGAAAATGGTAAATATCTATACATACATTGTTGGATTGTGGTTTTCAGGATGCCTAGTCTGAAGAGTAACTTCTTCTTGTCGCAGATGTGCAAAGTGTTCCGAGGACTCACACTGAGCGTGGGTCTGATCGTCCACGCTGTTCATGACCTGTAGATACCATGTAAGTAGGCCTGCTGGAAGCACTGTCACAGCTCCCGCAAAGTAAGCTTATCCCATGTGTTGGGTCATGCAGCACATCTCATGGCATCACAGTCGAAATCCCCCAGATGGCAATAAAGTTCCTCCGAAAAGCGCTGCCGAGGATGTCGAAGAAGGAGTTCTGTCGAATTCTGAGCAGGTATAGGCCGGGTGCTTGGAGGATGTGCGAACCGGAGCAATCATCAGAAAGGAAGGACCAAACCCCTTGAACGACCCGACAATCAGCCTCAGATTGATCCCAAGTTGTTGGACCAAAAACATGGGTTACGGCATCCATCGTGATGGTCGAAGACCTGGCGCGTCAAGCCTCAGGCACTATACGGAGGGAGGTATCCCTGCAGACGTCCTAGCCCCCTACCACCGGCAGTGGCTAGAGCATGCTGTGTTGCTTTTGGAGTTCGAGCTGCTGGCCGGCAAGAATGGACATTAAGGCTACATGTTGGGACACTTTGTGGGGTATGCCGGGTCAAAAACAGCTTCTCATGGGGCAATCAGTGGGACCTTGTGAGGCCCAATCGGGCCGGCTTTGATGTGGCAAGCTGAGCCAGGAGAAGATTCAGGTCTTTTCCCATGCATTTTTGGGATGAACGTGGCAAGATGGAACTCATTCCTTCCCCATCTTCCCAGGGCTCTTCAAATTTCCATGGCGCCACTGCGAGGGTCCAGAAAGATCCTCATGACATGTGGCTATCACGATTGGACTTGTGGCACTTGGGGCCTTTTGATGTTGGAAGCCTCTAGCAGCTCTAGCATCCAACGTCGATCCTCCATTCGTGCGAATGATCTGCCACGTCGCTCCTGATGATCCTCTCCCGCTGGGAACATCTGAGGAACCCGGCACGGTGGCCGATGCTCTCGGAGGAAGAGCAGACGAATCTCATCGAGGAGTTAAGGCGAGAGTCCTGTCCGGGCCCGGCCTGATAGACGCCCAGAGGCCTTTTCTGTTTGGCTCTTCGGCGGGGCGGAGAGGTATACAGACCACCCTGCAGGTGGCAGCCGAGGGCGCATCTGAACGTTTAACACGTGGTGATTGGGCTTGGACCCAGTGTCTAGCTGGGAAGTGATGATTTCCGCTTTGCAGAGAACATCAACCCTGTAACATCAACCCTGTCTCCCGTGATGCCATTGGTGCTTATATAACTGCCATTACCATCCATTACCTGCCACAGAACTTTAGAAATGAAACGGAAGAGTACCAAATCGAAAGCAATCTGAAGTCTCTTAAGTTATTTTTGGAGGGCCTCCATCAGCTCAAAATCCACGTGCGCCTGTCGGGCGCGTTAGGGCACCCATGCACCCCAGAACCCATTGACGTTTGGTCCGGCCTCCGCCATCACGGTCGCACTCGCACGATGACCGGGCTCCCGACAGGACGGAGATCTTGAAGGGTTACATCCGGGCGGCGAAGACCACCGTGGTGAACTACGCTTTGCTCGATGAGCGCTGTCGCAAGCGTTTGGATGTGCCTGGGACCTCTTTGCGTTGGTGATTGACTTGAACAGAGTGCGAGTTCACCACCGGTTGCAGGTCCTCCTTTCGGTCCTGGCATCTGAGTTCGGGCCGGGCGTGGAATCAGTAAAGATTGAAGTCGGAGGTGCAAAGCTGACTGGTTGATACTCGTTGGATGGGACAAGGACAAAGACATTTATGATATGATTGAGCAGGAGACAGATGTACTAGTGAGGTGTTTGAAGATGTGGCTCCAACATGCTCCAACAACTTACCGTGATTTTGTCATTCCATGGCCGGGAAGAAATGAACTGCAGGATATATCGTCAGGTCCCGCTTTGTCGGAGTGACGAATCATTCATGATTCTTCTTGCCTGATCCAAAGCTGACTGCTCACCCAGAATGGTAGGAATTGATCAGTCTTTCTTCTCCGGATAGCATCCCAGCATCCTCCCACTCTGAACAGACTACACGCTCTGAGAATGACCAGCTCAGTGGCTGGTCATCCAGATCCTCAATGCACTTCAATTCCTGGGGCACCCCACACTGAACCTGTGAACCGGCTGAACTGAACCCATGAACTTCTGATCTATCTTAATCCACATCAGCGAACGATTCCGGCGTTTCATTTCAACCGCCGCGACCTGAACCATTCGGAACTCCCCCTCCTCGCGTTCTCCGCCACTCAGGTGCCCTTTATCCCGAGCCCTCCGCCCATTTGGGGCTGCTTGACCTTCCAAGTGCCCGACATTGGCACTCCCGGAGGCGAGCTTGACGAAGCCACCGACCGACCGGTCTCGTCGACGTCTCCGCGCCGAAGACCAGCTCGGGGCTGCGGGAACCCGGCCAGGACCTCCGCAGCACTGGCGCGCGGGGCTTCAGCAAGCGCGGAATTCGCTGGCGAACCGCCATGTACAGACTCTCCGATCGGATGGCAGTCAGGGGCGGCACGGAATGGAAGACGGAGGTGACGAAGGAAACACGCACGGCGAGCGGGGAGTCGAAGTGTTCCGGTGCAGTGAAGGGGTGCACCGGCCTGATCAAAAAGGAATCCAAAGCATGTTATATACCAGCACCTTCCAAGAGGTGTCTATTCACAGCCTCTTAAGAGGTTAAGGGGTGTCCCAGAAACCACCTGTTGGAAGGTCCTGGTAGTCATTTGGACAGCTAGTCGCTAGTCCAGACATGGATGGACACGACTCTCGGTGAAGGCCGCCGTGAAGGTGAAACTTACCGCATTCGGCCGTGTGGCTCAGCTCGACCTGGCCGAGCTGCAATCAGTGCGACCGCAGCACAGGTCGGCCCACGCAGCAGACCGGCAGACCGCGCGCGCGACGCGCGGCGCTCAGGAACTCTGTGACGGCACTCAGCTTGGTGGACTTCTGGTTGAAGGAATGCCAGGACTGCGCGCGGCGAAGCCTGGGCGGTTTCTGCGCGGCCTGCAATGCAGTCGGAAGTCCGTGGGGGATCAGGAGGTAGAGGAGTGGGAGGAGCAGCTGTTGGAGCAGCTGTTTGTCAAGATTCTACATTATGATGGTGGACTGGCATTCTTCACACCATTCAGTTATCCTTTGGTTGGGGGTGACAAGACTTCTGCATCAGGTTCCGTTCGTTGATGATGTTTAGTTCGTTTGCAGTCCAGTTGCAGTTGGACGTTGAAACTCGAGGTACCGTAGTTCCTTTGTGTCCCTAGTGTTTGTCCAATGACCTGTAGGAGTCGATAAATCAGTTATCTCTATTTTTGAGAGAGGCCTGCAACTGAACCAGCATCACCCACCACAAAATGGGATACACCCAATGTGTCCCTTAAACACAAAAAAGAAAACGCTGGACTTTTTGGCAGTTTAGAAGGACACAAAACAGACTGATTGGCGCACACCGGTCATGATTGGCATGATCCACTTGGTGGGGTGCAAGACTGCAAGACCTCATTCATGCCCCTGCCCATCTGACAGACCTGAACAGGTCTGTACACCCTGGAAGATAAAGCAGATGAAGCCTTGTTTGATTTGTTGGTACAGGAGAACACTTTCGTTTTTTTTGTACAGGTGCCATTCGATGAGTTGTATTAAATCCCTTTGTCCAGTCATTGTCGGCATCATCTATGCCAGCTCATTCAGATGTATTGTTAGTTTTCGCGCGTGCACGGACTCGTCGAGGTTGGATCGCAAGGCTTCCGAGGTGTCCCCGTGTTGGGCTGTGGGTATGTTTATTGAGTTGATGTAGATAGGTTAGATGGTTAGACCCTGTAGGGGCCCACTGCACAGGTTCCACAAACAGTGATGAACCTCTCATTCAGATGCAACTGTGTTCCAACCAAGCTAGTTTTTTGCGGGTAGGGGTGGCACACGTTCAACTCACTTCCTCTCCAACAAGTCCTCTCAAGAGAGAAATTAGCATCCATCCATCGTCGACCACTGATCTGCTGGGTCAAAAGCTTCGTCCGGGCTGAACATCCCAGAGCCGCAGCATTTGAACGGCTCAAAGTTGTGTACGAAGTTCTTGGTCCCAGCTTGGCTTCTTGGATGCACGCTTAGCTCACGCGTGATCTTCGTTTGCTCCAGCAGCTCCAGGTGCACCTGGGGAACGCGGCTCTTCTGGGGAACGCGGCTCTAGAAGGTTTTCTGTGTCATCTGAGGGCATCACTCCCAGGCCATGGGACTAGAATTAGAATAATTAGTTACGTCACCATGGATGGGTCATCAATGAAGTACATGTAAGATAACCCTAGAAGTCCAAAGACTATTTTTTGACTGACTGAAGTAAAGGAAATTCCTTTTCGGGTCACCTAGTCAGACCATGCTTTTGATGGTCTTTGACTCCCAGGGGACTGATCACTCGAAACCCATGGTCTGGTCCGGGGCGTCTCGCTCCACGCTTGTGTAGAATGCTTCCCGTGTGGATTCGGACGGGGAGGAACAGGGGCTGGACCTGGTAATTAAAAAGGCCTCATGGAATGGTTGGTGCACCAAAAAAGGTGCCATTGCTGAACCTCTGAATCAGATCCAAGTCATTTGCGAGGGATAGGTGTTGATATGTACGTCTGGATGAACCAACTCTTTGAGAAAATGACAAAACAGGACTTTAAGGGGTCACTAGATGTTTGAGTTACGGCAAGACGATCGCAAACATTCGCAAACTGCTCGACCACTCATCAGATATGGATTCCGCATAAATCATGTTTTTCATAGTATGCACCATCTGTACAAACCAAAGTCACTGTACCGCTATGTAGGGTATGGAGTTCTTCATGAATTAATGTGATCAACAGAAACTCTCCCTAGATCAGCAAGCGGCATTCAAGACAAGGTGACGTCCGATTGGGCTGCAAAAGCGTCAGACAACCGACGCGCTTGGATGCCTATCGTTCTCGGAGCCGACTAGCAGCAAAGTGAAGAAAGACAGGTATATACATAAATTTAGGAATAACTGTCCCTACGGGTCCAGTTTGACCCAGTAAAACCTGGAGTTGGTCGGACCTCATTGAGTAGTGTGAACTTGCATGACCAACTCCAGTATATATAATGAGGTCCGACCTGCATGGTGATCAGTAGCCTCACACAGCTGGCACTGTACATAGGCTGCGATGCTGCACGCTTTATGCGTGCTGGCCGCGCTGTGTGCTGGGGCAGCACGCAATACAATCCCCAAGGAGCAGCGGGGGAGGTCATGAAGTTCGAGGAAAGTCAGCAGGGCTTTGGAGGAAATGGTCTGTCAGTCAAGCAGAGGAATCTGCTTCAAACCGGCAGCAACACCATGCAACAATCCATGTGTTACGGGCATATCTTGTGTGTGTTGACCTGGGACAGACCCATGTTTCTTGCGTCGCGGTGAGATCTGGGAAGAGGGACCCTGGTGGATGGTATTTCCATCAAACAAGCTTCATCGTTGAGGTTGTTGTTAGCTTGTTTCGTATGTGTATCAGTGTATCATGAAGGAACTTTTCCAGCCCCTACTTTAATCGCTGTAATTATATAATTCCTTCATCGTTTGTTGCTTGGCCTGTGCAGTAGCAATTTTCACAATCAAGACCAGTCTATGCTTGTGCGTTCGCTGGGTAGTGCTTTAGAAAAAATTTCTCCATCAAGACTTGACTTAAACCACCGACCAGATCAAAGCCTCTCAAGACCCACTCCATAGAGCGTTGGCAGGAGCAGACGCCCCCCGAGCATCCTGCCTTTGACGGATTCGAATTCCTGGAGCTCCTCGATGTGGTTCCTTGGCTGGGAGAATGACCTGCAGCCATGATGTATGATTGGATGGTCATCAGGTTCAGAAATGCCTTTGCATATGATGTTTAGACTAGAACAGTTCTATACTGTATACATCTGTATACTGTATAGACTCAAAAGCACCAACCCTCAGTCTTGGCCTACTCAGTCTACTTGTTCCTTGTAGGCGACTGTCCAGCAGCTCGTGTTCTGACAGTGGAAGAAGACTTGGGTCGGAGCACACGCACATACTAGACCACAGGATGGACCGAGAGCACAGCAGGCGATGAGAGAATACAATGATGAGGATAAGGATGTGAGTGATGTAGGTGTGTTGTGGCAATCACATTAACCACCTGCACCTCTACACCTTGATGATGTTGATGATGATGATGATGATGATGATGATAGTTATAGACAGTTGAAATTGCCAACCGTTCTTTACGGAGGACCCTTTGCATGCGAAAAACAACACATTCGATACATCAAGTGAATTCAGATGACCCTATGAATAAACGGCGCTTCATTCCGAAGCGACACAGAATTCACCAGGCAGAGAGACATCAACGGTGTCAGCCAAGAATTCGGTGTCGCTTCCACCGGTCTCTGTGGCTTCGCACCGGGGGGATGGCGCAGCGCCGCACCGGAACGGAGCGTCACCGTTGAATGTCCAATGAGTCAGATTGCTTGGAGTACACTGTGGTTTCTTGGGGGCGAAACTCAGGAACCAACGATTCAACCTTGAAGACAGGAATTTTTGCAGGTTTCGCCTCAAGCTAGAAACACAGATTTTGAAGTCGGGTCAATCATTGACGCCTTGAAACAGAGACGAAGATCTTGGGACTACTTGCAAGTCCAAACACACCACAGTCTTGTAGGGATTCTTTGGCCGTTGCCCCCCCCCCTCCCAGCCTGGAGTCTTGCCACGTAACACCACGCCCCACGTAACCATTCCTCCGTGCCACCCGTGACAGCACCGTCCTCGTCATCGCTGGGTTCCACCGTCGGGTGAGCTGCCGAGTATCCGCGACGAGCGGCCGAGTCTCCGACGCAGGCCGAGTATCCGCGTGCGGTGGCCGTGGAGCACGAGGACGCGGAAGAGCAAGGTGAGGAGCTGCAGAGACCAAGTGGAATCAGCGGCCGGAGCATGATGAGTTTCTTGGAGTCCTTGAAGGCCGGCTGACCCGAGCTAATCAGCCAAGCAGCCTGGTGACCCGTGGTAGGTCATGCCGCATTTCGTGTGGAAAATTCCATCGCAGGTCATGCGGCGTCCAAGACATTCCAAGATCAATGTGGTCGTCTGCCAGGGTTCAACAGAAAGGACTCAACAAAAATCGCACACAATCACGCATACTCACACACACACATATATATATATAACAGTTACTGTACTATACTGTAAATCTCTTTTGTTTCGCATTTATGTTATTTAAGTATATACGAAAATGCAACCAACAAAAAAATAATATATATGTACTGAGAGCCCAGGCATGATCCCTGATTTGATAAGAAAAAGCCTAAAGACCTATTTTGAGGTGGCTGGTCCTCCGGTGAAGCGAGGTCCTCCAAACCGTCGCGCGCCAGGGCTGGACGTCGCACGCCTTCAGCTTCCCAAAGTTGCTGACGCCACGCGGCGATAGAGATGAGAGTCGGAGCACGGTAAGCGAAGCCAAGAGATGTGTTTTTTCTCCGCCGAACATCGAACATAGATCGAGCCTAGCCCATCCCATATGCTACCACAGACCAGGGTCCGAACGTTCTGGTCTCTGGTCTCGCACTGGTGAGCTCATGTCAACTCATACACCTCGAGCCCCTGGAGCCTCGTGACTTGACATCCCGGTTACCTAGAGGAACCGGTATTTTTTTGCCTCTCGCAGTCAACCAGGGTTATGTGGGGCTTTGACCCACAACCAGGGTTACGTTGACGCGAGTATCAGTATGAGCATTCCAAGAGATGTCAAGACATGTCAAGTTGTAATGGCATGTAATGGGGATCATCAGCCACTTGAAGAGGGACTTTGATATAGGGGTGGGATGATGGTCTCACATGTTGCTGCACATCTCGGAACATGTGCAGCTGGTTTTGCTGGGAAGCACCATCTACGCTTGAGCCCCAAAGACGACCCCCTTCATGACAGGAGGACGGATCCGACCCCACGAGGGCACGGGAACTGCCTTCCAAAGCGACAGAACAGCCCACCCCACACGTCCGGTTGGGTCTTTTGGTTGGGATATGTTGGGATGAGGGGACCTGAAACCCCTGGAACGGAAGACGATGGATGACGTCTTTGTTGATGAAGAGGCTGAGTGACCTCGATTTTCGGACCAGCAAACCCTCCAAAACAGAAGTCCTTGCCTCTTTTTCATGCAGGGGGCATGTCTTGGTTCGTGGGCGATTTTGTTGGCGATCTGACTTTTGATTTGGCTTGGTGGTGCCTATCAAGATCCTAAACATCGACAGTGATGGGGGATGGTCTGTCCCCACGATGGTGCGCTCGGCGCGCCTAAACGTGAGTCTCTTAAGGTTTTTTGTGCTTTAGAACAGACATTGAATTTATAAACCATATGATAACACTAAGAATAGTAACAATATATAATTACTGGATTTAAAGAAGTTGGTATACACCGGGCAAGCTATTCTTTGAAGGCCGATGGAGGTCGAGTATTTCCCTGGTCCTTGCGTAACACATTTTGCAACACCCTTTGCAACAGCTGCGGCTACTGTACGTGCAAATGTTCAGGAACAAAGGGAACAGTCAGCGCTCGAATCCGGACGTCTCGGGCGGATGGCTGTTCCCACCCGAACGGACACCTGAAGGTGGAGCATGAACAAAAAGCCTTGGCCTGCTGGTTCTCCTTTCGTTGTTCTTGTCATGTTCGCTTCTTGTCTTTTCCTCCGAACTTCCTGTTCTTTTCAATATTTGTGTTTCAATAACTGGTTGTTTGCTTGTTTCCCTTCCTGTTGCACTGAAAGTTTCCTTTCCGTGTTCAATTCCTTTGCCGGTGCGTTGTCCTTACTTTTTGTTTTCATGTTTCCTCATCCATTTCGGTTCCATAATGTTCTATAATGTTGTTTGTTCGTGATCCTTTGAATTGCACTTTTCCTTCTGCTGTATTTTGCAGTCCTTTGCAGCATTATCCTTTCATGTTCCTTTTCGTTGTTCCTTCCCCTTTCGGTTATCAGTTCGCTTTGCTGTTCCTTTCTTTCGTGTCCTGTCAGCTTACATTATCCTTGCAATACTCTACCTCAAGCTGCACATGGCAAATCAAGCTGTCGTCTTTTGGTGTTCTGTTCCACTTTTGGTCCACTTGTTCACTGAGTCATCAAACCTGAGGCAGATTCAATGGAATTTCCATCCTGCCCTGAACGACAAGTTTTATGATGCGAAGGCAGGACCAGGGAGACTGGGACCTGGTTGGCCCCTACTGGTCCTTGGGTGAGACACCGTGGCCTCAGTGGGCCACGCCAGTCGTTCTTCCCGGAAAACGAGTGGATCAACATGCCAAGAAGCTTGAGTGATCTCTATTGTGGAACACCAGCGTCAACAATCAGTGCATGTTTGCTTTAATGGTCTTCTCCTATCAGAAGAGGTGTGGCAATTGAACGAAATATGGTTCGACATGGTTCCGGACCTGGTTGGTGCCTCCCCTCAATGACGCATTGTGCGACCCCAAGGGGGTTGCCCAAGGGCGCGCGCAAAGAGTGCGTGGAGATCACCGGTCCTTCGTGGGCTTCTCATCAGTGTGAGAACTGTGAACTGCCAAGCTGACTCAAGGGCGATCCAGACTATAGCTGGTAACCAGCGGTTCCGAAGACTAAACCATACTAAGCCCATAGATCTAGAACCCTTGCAGTTCCGGTAGTAGGGTAGGTATTTTCGGTATTTGGTTTCTCTTCTGAGACCGTCGTTCGTCCGAACCGAGTCGCCTCGCGCCCAGGCAGTGGGCTCCGGGACCTTTGGCGTGACCTTTCTAGCGAAGACCCGCACAGAGGAGTTGACGCTCCAAGCGCACTGGACGAGACCGCGTGACCACCCGGGCCCGTTTTTTTTTCATGACGGTGTCCTTTTTAGACGTACCAGGACCCTCGTCGGAGATGACCCTATTTAGAAAAACTTAATTACTGTATGTATTTTACTTCAAGTGCTTGGGTTTGATCCCCACCTCAAGAGGTGATTTGGAAGAAGGCAGGGCACATGCATTCACAGACTGCCCATGTGTCACGACATGTCAGACTTCAGGGCAGGGAACACATGCCAACAAGGGCGTCAGAACACTGCCCACAACATCCCCATCCCTTTATATGATAGATGATAGTATAGATGATGATGTTTCAGAGCGCAACCCAGACTCAATGCCAAAACAAGCGTTCATTCCGACATATCTTCTGCCATCAGTATCCTGGCATTCTATCTGGCAGACACTCTTGCAGTCTATTTGGCATACGATGGTCTTCTTGCACTCTATCTGGCATACATGCTGACATTCGATCTGCCATATATTCCGGCATTTTGTTTGTATATATATATGCTGGTGTTCTATTTGCATATATGCTGGCATTCTATTTGGCATATATCTGGCATATACTCTTGCATTCTATGTTGCACAAAATGACATTCTAATTGGCATAGATTCAGGCATGCTACCTGGCATATACTCTCTTTTGCATACATTCTGGATCATTCTGGCATTCTATTGTGCATATATTCTGGCATGTTATCTGGCATAATTCTGACATTGTACTTGGAATCTATTCTTGCATTGCGGTTGAGGTCCGGCGGTGCCCACTGCGATCAAGCACTGGGCCTGGTGCCCACTGCGATCGAGCACTTGCGGTTGAGGTCCGGCGGTGCCCACTGCGATCTAGGACTGGCAGGTGTGAACTGGGGAGCGCAGCCAGGAAGGGAGAAGCGGGACATCTTTTAAAAAATCGAACCAGCCTCACCTGGCAGGTGGTGAAAATACAGGTACTTGCAACCATTTTCTGAGGGGCGGGCTGAAGAACTGAGGCGCCAGGTAACTTAGCTATTCCAGTCCCATGGATCGTTGGGGTGACTGGTTGCATGCCTCGGTGACTGCAGGATGCTGAGCACTTATCCGCTGCTCCAGCCTGAAATCGCGACACCGAGTCCGCCCCAAGCAGCCCAGAATGAGTCTTCCAAGTGGGTTAGTTTTTCCCTGTTCTATCAATTTTGCAATTTTTCGGGGTTGCGGACGCCTTGGTTTTGTTGCAGTGCTGCGGGCAGACTACATCATTATCAATGGCTTTCCCTCTATTGCGCAACAACAATGCCCCATTTGGCTGGTCCATCCGGCTTCTCCATCCGTCCATTGGGCCGTGTAGAAAAACACCGCTGAGGACTGGAGAGGCGGGACAGAAGGTGGCGGTGAAGTTGCTGAAGTCGTCTGACAACATTTGGCTCAGCCCTTGCCCCTTCGATCCAAATGCGCGCGGCGATGACCCACAATGCCCGGCGCATGTGGACTCGCGCTGTTGACCGCTCAGGGGAAAGCATGCGATTTTGTGTCAGTGTTGGGCATCGTTCAAGTGAAGGCCAACCCAGAAAGCAAGGAGCACATGGAGGCCGACGAGACCAACAACATATGCGGACACCCCATCAAGATTCAGTCCATTCACAGTGATTTCTGTGAAGCCTTCAGTGCGGCCTTTATGTTTGTGGGTACAGGGGATACCCAAACATTTTTTGCAAGTAGTTTGTATACAGTGCGCATGTGCACTGCCGCTGGGACTGCTAGATTTGCCGATCAGGAATAAGAAATGGAATCACTATATTCATTCCCTATCAATAGACTCTGGGCCAGGTTAGGCATTATTAATTAAACTAGTGAAGTATATGTAACATCTTATATGTTTTTGGAATTGCAAGGGTAAAAACCAGATTATACATTGGACCTTGCAGTCTTTAGATTAAAATAAATGGATGTGTTGGGTGGGCTCGTAGCCCACAGGGGGTCTGACACGGGTCCATCGGCCTGCAGATCACTACAAGCACCTCCCGCAGATCCGCCCCTACATCGACCTAAGCCGAGCCGAATGTGTGGACCTCCAGGCCAGGTCGAGCCGCTGTTTCGATGCGTTCATTGGACGTAAGGTCGGAGTGGTCCTTGAGGTCATGGGTGACAGATGGGGGTGGAAAGTGACAAAGCAGGACGAAGAAACCCTGGTGAGCCCATGGTCGCAAGCTACCACGGTTTGTTTAAACATTTACTGTGCGCATGTACAGTTGTATGTAACGCAATGCAGTGCAATGAAATGCAATACGACGCAATGCAAAGTAATGTAGTGTCATGTCATGTAGGTATGTAACGTAATGTAATGTAATGTAATGTAATGTAATGTAATGTAATGGTATGTATGTATGTAATGTAATGTATGTATGTCTGTCTGTCTGTTTGTCTGTCTGTTTGTCTGTCTGTATGTATGTCTGTGTGTGTATGTATGTATGTATGTAATGTAATGTAATGTAATGTAATGTAATGTAATGTAATGTAATGTAATGTAATGTAATGTAATGTAATGTAATGTAATGTAATGTAATGTAATGTAATGTAATGTATGTATGTATGTATGTATGTATGTTTGTTTGTTTGTTTGTTTGTTTGTTTGTTTGTTTGTTTGTTTGTTTGT